ATGGAACTTGATATTTTTGTAAAAAAAAAAATCGGGGTCTTTAAAGGTCGCAGATAGTGCGCACGGACCAGTCTGACTAATTTCATTATAACGTCAAACATTTGGATTTTGAATTTTAACACATGCTCATGGACACATGCTACATTTCTTTTTTATGACGCCACACTTCCAAGTCTAGCTTTAAGTTTAGATTATAATTTATTTAATTTTTAAAAATCAAAACAATGCAAAAAAATTTACGAGCGTCATCAATATAAACAGTTTATAAACACAAACTGCACAACCTAGTCCGACAATGCGCTAGATTTATAACAACGTCATGAATAGAAATCTCCATTTTCAGCAAATTACATGTGTTTTTAAATTCTTGTAGTGTCTTCAAATTTGAACACACCGTTTAAAAATCTTATATACCAATCTCAAATCAATAAACTAAATATATTTCAATAACTGAGTTGTTTTAACAAATGGTTTGTCTCTTACGTCGTTTCAACCGTATTAAAACTTATTTTTTGATTGGATGCTGCCCCGCTCGGACGGCCGACGTTTTTCTGTCGAGTTTTGACACATACTTGTTATGGTTTTTGTTTAGTATTTTCCCTGTCTATATAGTAAGCGATACTTACGATATCAGAAAATGATTTTAGTCTCTTTATTTGTGTTATATATAATTTTTATTAAGTTTCAAATGACTTGTTTTATTTAGAAAATATAATCATTTTAATTCAAACACTTTATACAAGAGATATGGAATTTTAACCTCGGTCCGTGCGCACTATCTTTAAAGATCTCGAATTTTACAAAAATATTAAGTTCCATCAATAAAAATTAAATCATTCTGACTTGTTTTTTTTTTCCTAAAAATATTTTGATATACAATAGATTTATATAGAACCATTTATTTTAACAAAAACGTCAGTGTCCATGAACTTTTTGGACAACCCTCTTTGAGATCATACTTAATATCATGATAATCAGAAATTTAGGGTCATGTGATATATATACTCACTTTTCACGGGGACGACTGTCAAGTTAAAATGATTCCATTTTCGTATAGATATACAATCTGAAGTAATCTTCAATGAATTGTTCAAAGTAAACACATCATAACAAGTTGCTCTGACTCGACATTCATTGTTATTCGGATATATTACAGCAACAGGAATTTGTATAGATAATCCAGAAATATATATAGATGTACATTGAATACTGTATATATGAATCAGTGATTGCATAAAATATTTTAATAAAAACAAATGCAATTTAATTTTGCTTATTATCTGAAAAAAATTTAACTTTCCTCTGTTGCCAAACAGTATTTCAAAAATAAATTCTACACTTGTGCATGTTTTGTTATAATCATTATTTTTAAACTAATATCGCTGTAACATTTCAGAGTTGTGTATACTCCAAAGTAAAAGAAAAAATATTGTTTAAAAATATTTTAACAAAATACCGTATAAGTAGAATTTTTAGCGAGGATTTAATTTTGGCATTATTAGCGAGGGTGCTGAGATCGCTAAAATTTAATATCACTAAAAATTAATTGCGTATTATTTGTAATATCTTCTTTAGTTAGCATTTAAAAATCGCTAAGATTACTTTTCGCTAAAATAAGATACCATATTTTCTGTTGAAATCGCCAAATTTGCGTCTCGCTAAAATTTCCACTTATACGGTATACAATAAGATAGTGGAAAGGCTTGATGACAAAAGCAAACATCCTTACGATAATACAAACATCCGTCACCCACATTTAGTCATTCACCTGAAGAAACACGTAAGGATCCGCCGTCTAGTTCCTTGGTTATAAACTAGGTCATCATCGACTGTCGGAAGCGCCCGCAAGCCCGGACCTCATTGTATATAGAACTTGATGGGACTGTTAATATTCTTGCTTCATCAACTTGTTTGTCAATAACTATACGAATCAAATGAGAGATATAAACTACGTATGCAAGTGACAAAGGTATATTGCTGCATAAGTAAAGGAAATTGACAATTAAAAAGTGAAAGTCATTACATTTATCATAAAGCTTTGTTGTTAGATAACCATAAACGTCTTTTTCTAGAAAAAGATCGAAATATGAAACAGATGTGTCAGACTCTGTGGTATCTTTTCTTTCAAGATCACCAAGATATATTGTTTCGACATAAGAATGGAAATATACATCAGCTAATTGACAATACGTCGTCGATACTGGGTATATCTAAATGTCGATTTGAAGGTCACGGCAAGTTACTTGCCGAGACCTTTGAAAAATTCAACTATACATTATACCATCGACGTCTTGTCACGCAGTGAAGAATGGTTATTTCCATTCTTACGATGTCAGTGGTAATCTTACAACCAAGCTCTATGATAAACGTGATTATTTTAACTTTTTTAATCGTTAACTTCCCTAACTTATGCAGCAACATAATACCTTCATAACCTGCATTCGGGATTCATATCTCTCAGTTGATTTGATACGCGAGAACATGCTCTACGCATGAACAATTTCTGAAACGAAATATGTTTCTGACAAATAATTTGATAAAACAAGAATTTTTGCTGTCTTGATTCATTTCTATAGTCGATACAATGACCCTGTCGGCAAGTATAATCTTCCTTTAAGTTTTACCATACTTATTGTAAGGTGATTATCTACAAACTGAATTGTCTTGAGTTACGATTTTCTGTTTTTCCATACCACGACTTGGAGCATACGGCGGGTGTCGGCGGGGGATGTTCACTCCTCCATTGCACCTGATCCCGCCAAGTGAAGTTAAAGAGGTCCGTTTCTGCTCAAAATTTGTATTGTTAAATGGACCTTTTAGCGTGAATAGGAGTGGGCCATTGACCGTCCTTTGTCGGTTTCTATATCTTTTAATAACTATGTCTGTGAACTTTTGCCAAATTCCTCGTATAAGGTGTCAGTGGGCTTCCTATGGGTTTTCAGTGTAACACTAGTATTTCAGTATATGTTATATTCTTTGAAAATATACTTCCACTGAATGATATGCAATTATGTATAATTCCTCTTTCGGTGTATTTTTCTTAATAAAGTTTTCAGAAACTAGTCCAATTATTGCTTAACTGGAACTAGTTAATTGATGTTAACTCAATTTTGGCTATAATTGAAAAGCGAAATCATATATTTACTTGTAAAACAAACTAAATAACAATGAAACATATTAAAACATGTTCATAATATAATTTTGGCCATTCCGGTAAGTATCCGTATACGCTTATCTCCTCTCATCTTACCCCAGTGTTTCTTCCAGAAAGATCTTATCTTATATAGGGGCCATCCATACCCACAGCATTATCCGATTCGGACAAGGAAAAAAAAAGAGTAACAACAAATTCCTTGACTGTTCATCTGAACTCATTTAGTTCCACGATCTTTCGAAGTCAATGGTTAGCGATTAGCCATTAGCAGCAGATTTGATATTTCTGGTGTAGCAACACCGGAAGCTGTATTCCCAGCCAATGGCAGCACTGAACTTCATCTCATGACTTCTTCATAACTGGGAGGTGGTTGAGAAGGATCAGAGACTATGCTGCTATAGGACGGGGGAGGGGCCATGCTATCTGGAAGAGCTTCGGCATTTTGATTGGCATCATGTCCATTGATTTCTGATAACGGTTGGGATATAACCGGTGGTGCAGATGGCGCTACAGCGTCCGTATTTTCACTTTCGCGTTCACAACTCCTAGTGCAGTCATTGACATACTCTCTCAAACTTTCACATGCAGAAGAACATTTAGAGATAAGTGTGTGTAAAGACCTGGATATGCAAGAACCGCAAGATTCAATCATATCACAGATACAGTTACGATCAGCTGAAGTCCGCTTACAGATGGATTTGAACATCCAAGATACACAGCAAATAAAGAACATGAACGGGAAGATGACACCAATCGCACTGACAGTGTAGTCTTCATCATAAGAGACGGGCGTGGTGCTGTTGTCATACTCCGTTGTATTCAGCATGATGGTGCCCTGTATTTGAAGAGAAAATTTTTATAAATGCCAAATTGATGAAATTGGAAAATGCTCACTGAAATAAGGAACTGAGCATGAAGATGATTAAGGATTACCCACTCTAAATATTACCAGTAAATGTATTACAGATTATTTCAACATATATAAATCGACCAAGTGCTTTCAAGTTTTCAAATTAATTTTCATGTAAAAAGTATCTGTTTATATCAATAACCTTTGTAAATTAATATAGTTAATAAAAGAGTTACCCTTCCAGGTTGATGTATAATATACAAATCCTAATGTTTTGAGTCCGAACAATTATTTAATTTAAAACATTAAAAATCAGTTCATTTAACTATGTATAATAATAATTGGGTTTATTATTGAGAGAGTTAGTTGCTTGATTTATGACACTGTCATTTTTCATCTTTTGTTTTATTTTTTTCACGCATGCTGTATTGTAATGTACACATCTCATGTTTGTATCTTCTCTATACTGTAGTACAGTTTAAGAGAATAAACTATTCCCCATTTTCAAAAGTGAGTTATCTCCCCTCAAAATCGGAACTCTTCAACACTAGCATAACTTCCGCGGACTACATGTTACGATAATCCAACAAAATAGTGATCAACTTACACGCTGTATTTAAAATTTTAAAAGAAGGAAACGGTTTGCATTTTTTTAGATAATAAATTATTTTATAAAGGGTCTGTTAGCCCCCCCCCCTTTCTAGAAAGCTATACGAATTAGCCAGGCACGTAGCATCGTCTTTATAGCCAAAGAAATATTTTTTTCTTACCTGGAAAAGTTGGCAAGCAAAGAAAAACCTTGCCCAAAGTTGAAAAAGCTAATACTTATTTCAGTACCAGTTCCTTGGCATACAATACTACATTTCCCTTATATAACTTACCGTAGTATAAACTGAGTGTGTGTGTGGGTGGGGTTGACAACCTGTCTATCAATGAACATTTTCAATAGAAAAAGTAATATTGGGAAAAAAGTGGGGGTTGGGCTAAACCCCTGACCCTTCACCCCCCCCCCCCCCTCCGTGCGTACAGGTACAGAGAATATGTAAATGGGTTGAACAGTTGAAAATGAACCAAAGTTGTGAAAATTAATATTATTATTAGAATTTTTAATTGTGAATTCAATAAAATTACGGTACATATATTTTTTCACAGATGTACATGTATGTCAGTTACACGGAGTCTCTCTCTCTCTCTCACTGATTGTTTTTCACACACGTTGCAAAAAAAAGAATAACTTATAAAAATAAATACATGTACTTACACTGAAAGGATTTAAAAAAAAATAAATAACACTTGAGAAAAGATTGTTTTCAGTTAATTAACGAGAAATACGCTAGGAAATTATTGTATCAATTTCGTGTTTCTGCTCTCAATTCTCTGATCTAAAACAAAATGTGTATTTTACTCGGGAATATACATGTACATATGCTTAGATCCTACACTAAAACTTTGATTAAATGCAGCTCAGACTTTATACGACATATGTAACACGAATTCAGGTCGATGCTATTTTAATTAGTCTTTCTTCGTTACATGAGCACATGAGATTAAATTATTCATTTAGAATTCCATTCAAAGTTTTAATACTAAATTGTGAATCAATTATTTTACAAATAGAAAATTCTAGAAACACGGTTAATTCAAATGAAATAGGCCTTTAATTGTCACCAAATGTGTTCTTGTAAGTAAAAGTTCTATGTTATGACATACAATCGAGCAAAAACGCAGTTTCTTGGTATCGGTAGCGGAAGACGAACTACTGCTGTATATGCAGCAATTTCAGAGGTAAAACTGTAGATGGACATGTCATCAGTCTTCAAAAAATTCCTAGAGATACAATGAAAATATGGCTGCAGCAGGCTAGATTAATTCGTAAAAACTTTATAACTAAAAATTTGTTCCGCACATTTTGTAAATAATGATGATCCGTCTGCAGAACATCCACTACCGAAAATTAGCTTTTTTGTTTGTGTTTTTTTTAATAGGCCTATTCGAATATGTATCAGCATTTTAATAGTAATTTGTTTCTTTTTTTTGTAAGGGGGGGGGGGGGTCACACAGCACCTTATTATAGTACTACACAGATTAATACAAATCCAGAAAGAGACTATGAGTGGGCAATTTAAAAAAAATACGAATCAGTTAAGATTTCTTTTTATTCACAAACACAATAACATTTTTCCATATGACAGAGGCATACACCATGCACATGTTTACATCAAAAACGTCCGCGGAAGTGACTTTATTTATAGCGCATGCGTATTAAACACAGTAAAAGAGTTCCCTTCAGGGGAAATAACTCACCTTTTGAAAATGGGGAATTGAATTGAATTGTAAATTTTCAAGGTTAAAAATAGCACGAGTAAATGGTAGCATCATTTTCACACCTTTATATACAAATAAATGCAAATAATCATGCGAACTTATTAAAACCATTATTTACTATTATTATGAAATGTCTCTTTGTTTTAAGAAATGGAGAGACATTTTTTAAATTTAAATGCTCTAATTAAATAATTGTGTTATATAAAATTTTACATACCGGTAAAAGAAGTAAACATTTAAAATGTTTTCACATAAAGTACGGCAAATGAATCTAATGGCATTTCGATAGCAGTCTGAGTTTACGTAGCATAGTGAGAAGTATGCCCGACATTCATGGTGAGCCTACATAGGCAATTTAGCCACATATGATCCACATATGCATTGCCTTTCATATGAAGATCATATGTGGATCATATGAGAATCATATGTATATACAATCATATGAGAATCATATGTGGCAAATCATATGAGAATCATATGATATTCATATGAGAATCATATGTGGCTAAATTGCCTGTGTACCATATAACTTTATATCATTCTTTAAGCTAAAACAATTTATAACACACTTAGCCGCAAGATATATAAACACTGTTTAATAAAAATGTTTCATCATGTGATATTGATAATTATCTTGCATCTTGAATTAATTCATACGAAATTGTCACAACTAAGCATGTTGTAATACATGTACATGCCACCATAGGGTTTGTTTTCATGTTTAAACATACTTTGTCAAGACAATAATTATGTAAATGTTAAATACACAAAACGACTTTTCATTTGTTTCATGTACAAAGATAAAATTTCATACTCACGGTAAGTCGTTGACAAATACCAAAAAATAAAATTCGCTTGATCAAACATAACACACACGAAATTAGTTGTCAGATGAAATCATCAGAAGATTGAAATTATTGCGAAATATGTTATTCTATAATTAGAAGAGAATTTAAATACCCGTATGTACTGAGACTAGTGATTTGGTCTATTGATTGTACCACTTATTTACTACATTGTACATTAACTCCACAAAAGACGGTTATTGGTTTATCTACCTGTTTCTAAGGTTACATAAGGATAAGAAATACCTCAAAGATACAGAGAAACAACGTTGTTCTGTCAAATTAACAGAAAATGACAAAGATAAAACACAAGTTGTTATAAATCTTTAAGTGTAATATGTAAAGCGGTCACCAGTCGGCTTTCATCTACTCTTCATTGACTGAAATTAAGGATAAAGTATACATATACTTTTTTCTTCCAACTGTTAAATTAGGTGCTTCTCTCGCGATAGAAATGACATTGGTTAATGTTTAGCCAAGCAAAAAAAATGGCAAAAAAGCAAAAATATAACTTTTAAGTTTAAGTTTTCTGAAAAGTTTATGATATGTACGAAGTTTTCTTACAATTAAAATTTTTAAAATTACTTTTCCATTGAAAGAATTATTGAAAAATCACTACTGTAACTCTTCTATGTATCTACCGCATCACTAGAAAAGCTAGCTACGTTCCCGATATCGAAGCTTACATAAAAGTATAGATATAACCACAAATTTTGAAAGAAAAGGCTACATAAAAGCTTAAAGCAATTGGTGAACAGTTCATAAGAATAGATTTTTTTTTTGATAATTAAATTACAAATGAGCTTTATTTGTATGTTCATAATCTATTTTCCTCTCTTGGATATAAATTTTTAACTATGAATATGTGATATAGAGAGACTAAGTATGCATTTAAGTAAACATCCATTAGTAAATCTGGCCTTTAAGGATATTCGGCAAGTACTGACCTGACCAGCTTCATTCCCGAACTTTTCTAGAATGGCGTTATGTAACCTGTAAATATTGACCAGTATTGCTTGAATGTAGGGGAAGAAAACGGCAGGGGGTTCCAACACTCGCATACAAAATACCAAATTGCCTAGCTACAACAAAAGGTGGGGATCACCTTTTAAAAGAAAATTTTCAAATAAAAGGTTAAAACTGCGTAAAGACCTTCGTGGCACCTTTCTGTTATGAATAAACATCAACATCTTTCCCAATCAGATTTAAGCTTCTGTACGATTCTAAAATTAGTTTCACGGCTACATGTCTAACGTTGATTTTTAAAATGTATAATTTTGGCATAAATTTAGTGTATAGTACGCCAATCTGGCATTCTTACCTGAATGATGCAAACGAAAATGCACTAGTTTACTAGCTATATATCCCGTCAAATTCATTTAAGGAATGAATGAAATAGCAACCCAAATTATACTGTATAACCTGGGGTGGGGCAGTTTACGCTTTATAAACCGCGAAGCGGTTTATAAAAAAGCGTTAACTGCTCCAACCCAGGATATAGCAGTATAATTTGGATTGTAATTTAATTCATTCCTTATAATTTAATTTTCAATCATTTAGAATATAAAACAAGACAATTTCTCTCTTTAAAACACCTTCAAATTGTTCATATTTTAAACGTAACGTTAAGCGGATTGATACGTTTTTGACGTAAGTCATTGTGACGTAAGCAAACCAGATTATACAATTTAGATTAATTTTTTATCCAATTAAATGACGCGTTACAACCAAAATTAAATTATAATATTATATGTACACAACACGGTTTGCCATGCAGTTCTGTGTTGTACGATTCTCCTCGGGTGTTTGTGAAACAGAAATGCATTCGATTTTGGCATCATATTCGACTTCGCTGGCTAATCGAAAAGTCGCTTTGACTAGACTCCAGATGGGTTGATACAGGAAGGGGTAGTGGATTGAACTTTTTTAGCTGCAGATCTGTAGCTCTCCAAAAAAAAAATTTGACAGTCCGGTCTATCAAATTA